CTTTCAACCACACAATGCTAGCACACACCAAGATATGGTGTTTTGGTGAATGAACAATGAAGAAAGATGATTCCTTGGTTGAGTTTCATGAAGAAGAAGGCTATGGAGTAAGATGGAGAGGGAGCCAAGAGGATCAAAAAACCCACGTAGGAAGTGTGAAAATTCTGACCTAGAAATGTGTGCCCTTGTATTTATAGTCCACTTAAGTTTAACCCGTTTGTATTAGCACTAATAGTTACGCTTATCATTTTAATCTCAAACTTCATATTCTGAACCTAGCTATTTTTCTAGAATTTTGCATATTTTTATTATAGTTTTTCGCAACACTTTTTTGGTACGAGTTTTCACGTCGCCGGTATTAGTTCTGGCACCAATACTCATTATTATGACTTCAAACTTGATATTCTTGACTTAAATATTATTCTAGGAATCGTTATGTACTTATTATAATTTTTTGGGAAACTTTATCGGTACACACTTATACCGTGAAGCAGAACCGATATCTGCACTTTTCATCAGAAAAACGACTTGCAACGTTATTAAGCCCTTACAATAATTATTTGGGTCTTCTCATAATTATTCTACATCAATTATTAAATTATTTTCTAATTTCATAATTAAATCATTTAAATTCCTAATTTAGCGGTGCGGGTTCTTATAATAAGTTTCTTCCGCAGGAGGCAATCTTATTCGGGGCGGGTTCAGGATCAAAACTTTAAATTCCTCCCAAACATGGTACTGGGAGGATCGGACACATGGTCTCACACCATTTGCTCAGCTCATTGTTAACAAGAATGAACGCTTAGCACTATTATTTTTCTTCTTACAAATTTTATATAATTTTAATAAAACTAACATCACTTGAGTTTGATAAATATATTACCATCTTAAATTTAATAAATAAAATTAAAGATTATTTAAGTAATCAATTTATATGTAATTTATTTTTATTCCGAGTTCAAAAATTAAAATGAAAAAGAGAGAGTCGGAGATAGATAATAAACAAAAAAGTTATTGGAAAAAATAGTAATATATTAAGGAGTAGATTGGTCTATTGACATACAATACTCACCTGTATTACGCTCAAGCTATGAGCAAATATGTACAAATAAAAAGCCGAATTGACCATGAATAAAACATGAGAATCTAGAAAATTCAAATAAATGAGGAGTCAATAAGTTAAAATAAAAAGGGTTCAATAGGCTCCTTATTATGTCAAATTGAGTTAAATGAGTAGCCAATTGAGTTAAAATACAAATAACATGAATTAAATTGAACTCTTGTTAACAATAATTGTTAACAAAATAAAATCCAATTTTATTAAAGATTTATAAATTTGTAAGAAGAAAAATAATAGTTGTAAGTGTTCATTCTTTCTAACAATGTTGTGAAAATAGTCTTATTGAAATATCGAAATTAGTTGCTAACTTACAGTTTTCAATGTAAATTTTTTTTTGGTATCCCATTTGGGCAAAGAAAACCCCAAACAGGCTAAGAAACAGAAATACAACGAGTACTACTGGTACCCCCTAAATCAGCTAAATACAATAATAAAATCCCAGAAGGAGGGGACAGAAAAACACAAAAATCTTCAAGATCCTGATTAGCCAGAGGTAAATTTGAAAGCCAATCAGCACAACAATTACCCTCTCTATACGTATGTTTCACCTTTACTGACCATTCCCTGTTCATCCAAGCCCGTATACGAGACACCAAATGATGCTCACAGGCTGGCTCACTTGAATTAGTAAGCCAAGTGACTGCTGTTGCCGAGTCACTTTCAATAATTACTTTTTTCCAACCTCCTTCCCAAGCCAATTGTATTCCCTTGAAAATACCCCACAATTTTGGTTGGATAGCACTACAAAAACCCACTCTATATGAAAAACCAGTGAGCCACTTACCAGTATTATCTCTTATCAGACCCCCACAAGCTGCCACTCCAGGATTCCCCTTAGCAGCCCCATCTGTATTAATTTTGACCCAATCATCTTCCGAAAAATTCCAACAAATTGAAATCGGAATTCTTCTTGCAATTGGCGTTCCCAGAGTCTTCCTATGTGCAACAGTCTAGAATTCCTTTGCCCGATTTACAATGAAGTTGTGATTGTATGCATATTGTGAATTTAGCCCCCCATGCAACTTATCATTTCTCCACTTCCAACATAGCCAAGCCGTAACAGCAAATATGGAGTTCCAAGGTACAACATTATTAACAATAGTAACTGTGCGTAGATTGGAACTAATCCAATCGGAACCTTCCATCACAAAAAAATCGTGACAAAAATTTTCAGCTCCTAAATTAATCCACAGATTATGGACACAAGGACAATCACGTAAGGCATGAATCCAGGACTCTTCAGCAGTATTGCATAAGGCACACAAAGGATCCCCCATCTACATATAGGCCAATCTTTTCTTTGTGGTCAGTCTCCCATGAGCTACTATCCACCAGAAAAATTGGATCCTATGAGGACCTTTCCAGCTCCAAATTAACTTCCAAATGTCAGATCTTGTTGATTCCATTTCTGTTTGCTTTGTGAGCAACCCATATATACCTTTCACCGAGATACCATTACCACTAGCAATATTCCATTTCAGATGGTCAACGCCATCAAGGGGATGGGGAGGGAGATGACTTCTAATAATTTCAATATCAGCCACAGGGAGCCACCTAGACAGCCTTTCTCTATCCCATTCTCCAGCATCATTGACATAATCAGCAACCATTTTTCCAGCTTCCTCCCATGGAATGGGCTGAGTTATTTTATCAATCAGCCTTGCATTTCTGTCAGCCCATTTTTGCTGCCAGAACTTTACTGTTCGACCATTAGCTATCTCCCAATAAGAGTGTACATCCATTTTTCTCCAAGCTAAACAAATATGTTTCCAAAATGAAGAGTCACTATTTTTATAAGAAAAGATATCAGTACCTGTACGATGAGGAGCATATTTATCCTTCAGAAGTTGCACCCTCAAATCTTGCGGATTAGAATAAATATTCCAAGCAATTTTAGCTAAAAAAGCATCATTAAAATCAGCTATATTTCTTAGACCCAATCCTCCTTGACTCTGGGCTTGGTTACTGTATTCCAGCTAATAAGATGAAGCTTCTTATGATCCTCTGTATCACCCTAAATAAATTGTCTCTGCATTTTCTCCATTTCATTACAAATACCAACCGGCAGCTTTCCACATTGCATTTGGAAAGAAGGAATGGTAGCCAGCACAGATTGAGTCAAAGTAACTCTTCCTGCTTGTGATAAACACTTTTCCTGCCATCCTGATAGTCTTTGACGCATTCTATCTAGAATAGCCCCATAATGGTCCTTTGTACTCCTTCCATGCTTTATCCAAGCTCCCAAATATCTGCCTATATTTGTTACTCTTTTAAAATCACTTATTTCAGCAATACGGATAGCACTTCCTTCATCAGTGTTTTTAGAGAAATAAATGCTACTTTTCTGGCCACTAATTTTCTGCCCCGAGACTTGTTCAAACAGATTTAGACATTTCAGCATGATATGAATCTGTTCCTCACTTGCCCCCGCAAAAAGCACCAGATCATCTGCAAACATAGTGTGGGATATTGGAGGCCCACTACTACCAGCCCTTATAGGTTTCCAGAGGTTTCCACTAACAGCAATATTAATGATATGAGTAAGTTTCTCCATTCCTAGGACAAATAAATATGGAGACAGAGGGTCACCTTGCCGAATACCCCTAGAAGGAAGAATTTCGTGAGTCATTCCACCATTCCACAAGATATTAATTGTAGGAGACCGGACAGAAGCCATAATAACATCAACCAGATTATTTGGGAGTTGCACTTCCTGAAGAATCTGGTGAATAAAGTTCCAATTTAATCTATCATATGCCTTATCCAGATCTATTTTTACTGCCATGAACGCTTTCCTACCCCTCATTCTGTGCATACTATGGACCAGCTCTTGTACAATTACTATATTATCCTGAATGTGCCTTTTTGGGACAAAACTTGCTTGAGCAGGTGAGATTAATTTCTCCAGTGTCAGTTTCAGTCTCTGAACCACAAGCTTAGACAACACCTTATACAAAACAGAACAGAGAGAAATAGGCCTGAACTGTTTGATATGAGTTGCACCCTGAACCTTAGGAATAAGAACCAACAATGTGGTATTTATAGAAGCAATCAGACCTGGATTTTTCCACAATTGTTGGATAAGAGTAACTACCTGATTCTTCATGCTGTTCCAGTTACGTTGAAAAAATAAAGCAGGGAATCCATCAATGCCTGGAGCTTTATGAGGCTGCATATCAAATACACACTGTCTAATTTCCTCATAACTAGGGTCTTTGGCCATGCAATTTTTTTCAAGTGTAGACAGACCTGGCCACCAGTTGGATGACTCTAGCCACCTCCTATTAACATTATCTTCAGTGAACAAATCTTTATAGAACCTATGAATCAGGTCAATAATCCCATTCACATCTGAAACCCACTGATTAGACTCATTCTTCAACCTTGTAATCCTGTTTATGTTCCTTCTAATAATAATGTTTAGATGATAGAACCTAGTATTACGGTCCCCATCAACTATCCACTTATGACTAGATTTCTGGAACCATAATAATTCCTCCTCTTCAAGGACCACTTGCAGCTGTCTCTGTACATTATGCTCTTCAATTTTGAGATAGGGAGAATCCCTATGCACTCTTTGCTGTTGAATTCTAGCAATCTTCTTTGAGAGATTCTCCTTCTTTTTAGAAATATCACCAAAGACCTGCCGATTCCAATTTCTGATTTTTGGAATTAGTCGTTGAAGCATGTAAGGAATATCAAAACTGTTATCCCAATGTGCATCCATGAGGTTTAAAAAATCATTATATTCCTGCCAGGCTGCAAGGAACCTAAAAGGTTTTTTTTCCTCCTGGATTGCAGTTGATATTGATATTTACACAGATAGGACTATGATCAGATAAGGTTCTAGGTAGATGACAAACCTAGGCATTGTCAAACATCAAACGCCATTGTAGGTTTGCAACCACTCTATAAAGTCTCTTATACACCCTTCTCTGATTTCCCCATTTGGGGCCCTGCCACGTGAATAAAGGTCCAGAAAAGCCAGGTCTCCAAGATTACAATCTTCCAAAACAGAAGCAAACAAATCACATTTGGATAGATTAGGAGCAGAACCCCCAATTTTCTCCTGCACAGTTGCAATTTCATTAAAGTCTCCTCCTACTAGCCATGGTTCCTGAATACTTCTACTTAGATTCTTCAGATCATCCCACAGAGTATTTCTTTCAACTTCTCTTGGGCTTCCATAAATAGCCGTACACAGAAAGGATTGATTAGAACTTAAAGAGATGTTCATATGAATCATTTGGTTTGTTTGGTTTCGGACATCCACATTTCCCCAAGCAGAAGACCATAAAATCCGAATTCCCCCTGAAAACCCATTAGCTTCTTCAACCCAGTATTTATCAAACTTTATCTTCTTCATAAGTGATACATAGCTTTTACTTTGAGTTCTAGGTTCCAAAAGCACCACCATTTGCAACCTATGCTTAACCACTAGTGAATTAAGTAAACGACCCAACTCTTTTTTGGCTTCCCCTCTACAATTCCAAAAGAGTACAGTCATTAAAAACTAGATTTGGGTTTAGCAGGATATAGGAGTACCTGCTGCTCCATCATTGGCATGTCGTTAGCCACCTCTTGTGCATTTTGACTTCTATCGTGCTTCTCCAACTTCTGGTCTTCATGACTAATGCTCTGACTTGCACTGTTGCTACTAGCCCCCTTCCTATCAATATTTAAGCCTTGATCCGGTGGCTTTGGGTTAAGAATAACATCCATGTCCTTCATCTGGTGGTCAGTGGAATGGATCAACTCCAATTCTTTTTCTGAATTGTTGTTTTGGATTAAAGGCAGCTCAAGAGTGTTCTGATATTTGTTTTTGTTACTGATTAGCTCCTCTGTTTGATCAACAACCATTCTATCCCCCTTGTTACCATCACCATGGCTTAACTTAGTAGGAATTTTCTTCGTATTGGCCTTTAAGATTTTTACATTGTCCACCTTCTCCACTGTATTATAGGCATCTGTATCCTGAATGTTCTTCCAGACTAGTTTGTAAGCTGTAGATGTTTCAACGAGCTTTGGTCCCTCATTTTGACTCCCTTTTCCTCTTGCTTGTACAGTCACACCCTTTTCCTTGTCATGCTCCAACTGAGTTTCACTGACCATTACTACTTTGCCCAATTCTTCATCATCTGGTTCCACGATGCTTAACACTTCAAAATTCGAAGATTTGTTCCCTGCATTTTTCTGGACTCTGTTCTCCTTACCTCTATGATCATTTCCCTTAATGCTCTGTATTTTCCTGAATCCTCTTTGCCTATTCATAAGCACCCAGGGGCCGTACTTCCCTTCTGACTCCTGGTGTTGATTAACTCTAGTACTTTTTCCTTCTCATGAAAATCTTGTTCCTCCTTATCTTTTTCACCTGCATTTGAATCTGATCGACAGTTATTGGGGCAGTTTTCGACCCTATGGCCATATTGACCACATGAATAGAAAACTATATGTAATCCTTCGTATTCTATTTGCTTTAATTTTCCTTCAATCTTGTATTCTGACTGAAGCGACTTTCCTAGATCCAATTCCACACATAACCTTGCAAATCTTCCTCTAGCCAGCGAAGTAGTAGCAGCATCAAGCTTGATGAACTTTCCTATCCAATTACCAACCTGCTTCACCAGCTCCGTTTTAACATATTCAATAGGAAATTGTGGAAGTCGTACCTAAGCCATTATTTTACTGATTGCTACTTGGTATGGATGAAAATCTGGTTCCCAACTTCGAATTACTAAGTAGTGATCCATTATCACCCATGGCTCAGCTGTTAATGCATGATCCATATCTTTCTTTGCCGAGAACCTCACCAAAAAGAAACCATTCTCCACAGCTGTAATCAACAGTTGTCCCTCCCTAGCCCACATGCTTTCCAGTTTTTTCTTCATGAAGGCAATATAAAGTTTTTCCCCCAATAATTTTACATATACGAATTGATGCCATAGCTTCCAAACTCAGCGCTTGAATTCGTTAGACATTAGAAAATTAGTCCTACCATCGCCATCCACTTGACAAGTAACCTCTGGCCCTCTTTGTGGCTTTTCTCCCTCTGGAGTTTCTTTGACATTCTCCTCATCTGCCCGGTCCACATCATCCGCTGGTGGCCATTCTCCATTGCTTCGCATAAGCATCTCTTTAAACGACATGTTTTCATGCATCCAGTCCTCGTCTCTTGTTTTCATAGTTTCTTCATGACTGAATTCTCCTTCCCCTCGCTTTTTCTTCCGAGTTGACCGCTGGAGATTGTCTGTCTCTTCCATTGATGGCGCAATATTGTCCGTAGACGCCATGGACGGTGGAAACCCTAGCAGAGCGTTTTTTGGTAGAATTTCTGGAAAATGTTTTCAATGTAATTTTTCTCTCAATGTTGTTGGGAAGAATTTTTTTTTTGATAATTTGGTATACATTTTTTAAAAAAATCTGAACTGGAAGACAAAAATAGTATTGTAGTTTAAAATTCTTATCTATACCATGGTTCTTTTTACAAGGATAAAATAGACATTTTAATTTAATTCTTATCTAACAGCTACGATGCATTTTGAGTTAATGATCACGTGACCTAAATTTTCTTCCAAAATTTTATTTTCACTTTTTTCCTTCGATGTTCCCCTTCCCTTAAACTCTCCCCAATTTTTCACTCTCACCTTTCCACTTTTTCACACCCACCATCGTCATCCAGCAAGATTGTTGCTTTCAATAATTCAATAAATAGTTGATAACTTCCTCTTCTAATTTTACAACTTTCACTTTTCTTCCTTAGCATATTGATAACAAATGTCTCTGATTGGTGGTAAAACACTCAATTGAATAATATAAATTAAGAAATGGTCAATATGATGAACTGTCAAGTAGCTTTATGAAATTTTTTGATAGTTTTAGATAAAATGCAAAAGTAGTACCACGATAGAGGATAAGCGTGGGTTGATAGGGAAAAAGACATCTTTAAGCAAAGTTATAGCTGGTGAGTCATCAATTGGAATCTGTGACATAAACCAAGTGTACCAAAAGTTTTCTCCCAGTCCACCTTCTAATTCTGTTAAAAATTAAATTAATCTATCCATTTTACCCTTATAGAAGAAATCATTGTAGAGATACAAAATTTATAATCTATATTGTTTTTTTTCATCCAACTTTGATTGTTTTCTAAAATTTATTCTAAATTGTAAAAAATAAAAATTTCAGTCCTACAATATTGAGAGAAATAATATAATGAAAATGGTAAGTTAGCAACTAATTCCAAATTTTTTTTGGGTAAATCATAAGTATCATCCATAGGAGGCAATCCTAGCCTGATCGAGACGGGTTCAGGATTAAAACTTTAAATTCCTTCCAAATATGGTACTGGAAGGATCGGACACATGCTCTCACCCCACCTGCCAGCTCATTGTTAACAAGAATAAACACCTCATATCATGGAGAAGTTGTTCATTCAACTATCCCTATGTCCTATAGTATTAATTTAGGCACCATAATTAATTTAAAAGTGGACTTCTGCCTCATGGAGTAGGGTAATCATTTAAAATCCAAACTATAACAAAATACCACATAGGTACTCGATTATTTTACGGAGAGTAACTGATTATTGTCCGAAAAGTAATTGATTATTCTCTCAAATTTCAAGAAAGTAACTAAAAATTCTTTTTCGCCCGACAATAATCAATTACTTATTCAATTACTTTTTGGACAGAGGCTATATCAGCCCTGTTTTAGTGAGAATCGAACTCGGATTTTTTCTTTATTCAACTCATTAGCAACTAAGATATATGCATTGGATATTTGTAGTGACATTTTGATAGTAGCATAATAAAATTAGACGTCTTTCATAAATGTATCAAGGTAATACATTCAAAGACACCCACAAAACGAAAACAAAGACGGGGGAGTATCATTCAAGACTTTTTTGTTATCATTCAAGACTTTTTTGTTAATGAAAACTAAAAAATCGAATTGTTTTTATAAAAAAAAGAAGAAGAAGTAGAATCATTAAGGTAATATTTTACCTGAACAAAAGAAAGAACAGGTTAAGTGGTTGACCAACAAGCATGAGACGTCATAAGCACACTTTGTTTGTTGATCATTTACGTCAGAGAACACCACATCCTCATAAACAAGAACAAAGCAGTTCAAATATTTATCTATCATTTTTGCGAATAATATCATAGAAGTACAGCCACAAAATAATACAAGTATTCATTTTGGGTGCCGAACAACTGGGTCTGCACTTTCTTCACATCTTTCTTCTTAATATCTGATCATAATACTTTTTCTTCCTCAAATTACAGCGTAATTTTTAAGTGAGGCACTAATAATCTCGAGATAATAATGATTTTTTTAAAAAAAATAATTATTAGAATTATTTTTATTTTTTTGAAAATTTGTGATAATTTTTCTTTTCCTAGTAAGTTGGTAGGTATCGAAAATTTGATGCTTACCATCTGATTCCTTGAGGGTAATATAGTAATTCAGCATGATGGGGATTTCTAAAATTAAATTAATTCTAAATCGGAATTTAATTATAATTAAAATTTCTCATTCCTTTTAAAAAATTTGTTGGTAAAAATCAAATTGAGGTTGTATTCTCATTTTATCCAATCTGTGTTAGCAACGGAGATATATCCCTTGCATACTTGTTGTGTCTGTCATTTTGATAGTAGCAGAATAAAATTAAACGTCTTTCATAAATGTATCAAGGTAATACATTCAAAGACACCTATAACACAAAAATAAAGAAGAGGGAGTATCATTCAAGACTTTTTTTGTTTTTCTAAAAAATGAATTCGTCATGTTTTAATGAAAACTAAAAAATAGATTTTTTTTTTTTTTTTTTAAAAAAGAGTGGAATCATTAGGGGGCATTTGGTTCAAGCTTTTCATTTGGTTCTCCATCTTGAATTGGTATTCTATGATTGCTTTGTTTGGTAAAAATATTAAAAAAATTTAGCTATGCTTCTCTTTTCCCCATCCTTTGCCAAACATGTGCAAAACCAAAAGCAAATCATGGAAGAACTTTTCCACTTTGAATGTGGTATTCTTAGAAAACTAGCTAAATTGCAAAAACGGTGAATGAAGAGTGTTACCATATTACCCTCTTCTAAGTACACATGTCTACATTTCTGAAATATCAAGGGTTATTTTCGGTATATCAACACATTTATCCATCATTATTTCACTTTCGACCAAATAAAGACTCACAAAATTTAACCCAATTTTCCTGTAAAATTTTGACCAACAAAACAATTTTTTTTAACTTTCCTACCAAACTTATTTTTCTGCCATATTACTAATAATTGTATTTACCTAGTAAAAAAAAATATCTTCTCTACCAAACACCCCTGGAAGTAATATTTTACCTGAACAAAAGAAAGAACGGGTTAAGCGGTTGACAAACCAGCAAGAGACGTCATAAGCACATTGTGTTTGTTGATCATTTACGTCAGAGAACATCATAGCCTCCGAAACAAGAACAAAGCGGTTCAAATATTTATGGGAAATATTTTTTATATTCTTG